GCGCCACTACCGAGAAGGCCCTCTGCCTGGTTCCCTGTAACTTGGCTTCTCGCAGTGAGGGAACCGCCAGAAGGCCCTCGGTGCTGGACCTCAGTGTCCGGGTAGAACGATGGGGGTGGAGACGCTCCTTCAGATATACTGGACCAAGGCCGTTTAGGGCTTTAAAGGTCAGCACCAACACTTTGAATTGTGCTCGGAAACGTACTGGGAGCCAATGTAGGTCTTTCAAGACCGGTGTTATGTGGTCTCTGCGGCCGCTCCCAGTCACCAGTCTAGCTGCCGCGTTCTGTATTAGTTGTAGTTTCCGGGTCACCTTCAAAGGTAGCCCCACGTAGAGCGCATTGCAGTAATCCAAGCGGGAGATAACCAGAGCATGCACCACTCTGGCGAGACAGTCTGTGGGCAGATAGGGTCTCAGCCTGCGTACCAGATGGAGCTGGTAAACAGCTGCCCTGGACACAGATTTGACCTGTGCCTCCATGGACAGCTGTGAGTCCAAAATGACTCCCAGGCTGCGCACCTGGTCCTTCAGGGCACAGTTACCCCATTCAGGACCAGGGAATCCTCCACACCTGCCCGCCTCCTGTCCCCCAAAAACAGTACTTCTGTCTTGTCAGGATTCAACCTCAATCTGTTAGCCGCCATCCAACCTCCAACCGCCTCCAGGCACTCACACAGGACCTTCACTGCCTTCACTGCGGCTGCTGCCGCTCTGCCGTGAGTTTGTGGGGAGGACCGCTCCCCCGTGAAGCCCTTTTTCCACCTTGGGCATGGGGGCGGGCCCCATACTCCACCTCAGCATATAAGGCTCCAAGGAGGCCCGGGACATTGCTGCTGTTGCTTTGCCGGTGAGTCTTGGGGAGGACCGCTCCCCCCTGAAGCCCTTTTTCCACCTTGGGCATGGGGGCGGGCCCCATACTCCACCACAGCACATAAGGCTCCAAGGAGGCCTCGGGACATCGCTGCTGCCACTCTGCCTATGAGTCTTGGGGAGGACCGCTCCCCCTTGAAGCCCATTTTCCACCTTGGGCCTGGGGGCGGGCCCCATACTCCACCACAGCACATAAGGCTCCAAGGAGGCCTCGGGACATCGCTGCTGCCGCTCTGTCTATGAGTCTTGGGGAGGACCGCTCCCCCTTGAAGCCCATTTTCCACCTTGGGTATGGGGGCGGGCCCCATACTCGCCTCCGCAGGTTATGGGGCTCCAGGGAGGCCTCGGGTGTGTGGGGTGGGGTGGGTGTTTAGTTGGGTGTGGGAATTTGTTTAATTTAATTATGTTGTGTTTGTAACTTTGTTTTTTTGTTTTATAGTTTTATTGTTCTGTTAGTTTGGTATTTGTATAGGCTTTAATTTGATTTTAAGAGGAGGGGTCAGGGCTGCCTGGGAGTGGGTCCCAGCAAACAAAATGGCTGGGGCAGGTTCCACAGGGGGGGATGCACTCGGACAACCGATCTCAGTGATCACGGGTAGGAGGAGGAGTTATGCTAAGACCAGACCATGTCATTACCGAGGAAGCAGGCTTAGTCGTTGTTTGAGGACTATCCCTGCCTCCAGGTCTGGTCCTGACCGGAAGGATACTGGAATCAACAAGGGAAACCCACATGACCTGAAAGTGTTGCTGTGCAATGCCAGGTCAATGATGAATAAAACCTCTGCCATCCACGACCTGATTGTGGATGGAGCAACCCAGGCCTTGTGGGCGGGGAGGGGGGGTTGCAGTGATTTTTAGGAAGTCATTAGTTTGCACCAGGCGTCCTATTGGAAAGACCCAGTTCTCTGAGTGCATGTTCTGGATGTTGGGCAATAGGGCAGTACAGGATTCCTATTGGTGTACCTGGGTTGCTGTGCGTAAGAGAAACCTGGTGGACAAGCAGCGGCAAGGACGGGCCCATCTGCTTCATCCAACCAGGTCTCTGTCACACATGCCAGGTCAAATCCTCCATCCACAATCAGGTCGTGGATGGCAGAGGTTTTATCTGCTGGAAATGTAAAGACAAAGATGGTACATTTTATCACATGTGGTGGGAATGCAAAAGGGTTAGAAATTATTGGGAAATGATATATAGTGAATTGAAAAAAATGTTTTAATAGACTTTTGTTAATAAGCCAGAAATTTTAGATCAAGATTTAAAAAAAGAAAATTGGAAATTATTTATGTATGCAACAACAGCGGCAAGAATTATATTAGCACAAGCTTGGAAGACAGAAGAAATACCAACGAAAGAACAATGGCCAGGGAAACTTATGGAATATGCAGAACTGTCAAAATTAACAGATAAATTACATGAAAAGGATAACAAAGACTTTAAAAGAGAATGGGAACTATTTACAACATATAAAAAGAAACAACATAAAGAATTGGACTCAGTGGCAGGGTTTGAATAAACAAACACAATTGTATATAACAAAAAGTAAGATTATATGTATTAGGAAAATTTTGGGAAACAACACGCAGGATGAGTAATATGGAAATAAAACAAAATGGGAATATGAGGGAAGTCCAGGGGAGGAGGGGAGGAAATATGGAAAATTGTTAGAGAAATATTGTTAGAGGATGTATACATGGAAAAAAACATATATATATATACCGTATTTTTTGCTCTATAAGACTCACTTTTTCCCTCCTAAAAAGTAAGGGGAAATGTGTGTGCGTCTTATGGAGCGAATGCAGGCTGCGCAGCTATCCCAGAAGCCAGAACAGCAAGAGGGATTGCTGCTTCCACTGGCTTCTGAGATTCAGATTTTTTTTTCTTGTTTTCCTCCTCCAAAAACTAGGTGCGTCTTGTGGTCTGGTGTGTCTTATAGAGCGAAAAATACGGTATATATGGCTGCTTTAAATGCAAGTTCCCTCAGGTGTATCCTTTTCATTTATTAATTAACAGAGAAATGAATAGCCCGGAGTGGGTTACAATAATCATTTAAAAACACCATAAGTGATAAGATCAAGCAATATTACAGAAAAACTCAATGCATTCACAAAATCAGCACACTGATGAGGGCAGCCCACTTAAATGTGGTCACATGTGCAGGGCTGTGTGCAGCAGTTGTGCTTAAAAAAGGTGTCATAATTCAGCCCCAAGACAGCCCAAAGTCTGCACTGGAAGAGCACTAGGGAAAACTGGATTCCTGAGTCTTTGATGCGCTATGCAAATTAAGGATAAGGTAAAGGGGACCCCTAACCATTAGGTCCAGTCGTGACCGACTCTGGGGTTGCGGCGCTCATCTCACTTTATTGGCTGAGGGAGCCAGCGTACAGCTTCCGGGTCATGTGGCCAGCATGACTAAGCCACTTCTGGCGAACCAGAGCAGTGCACGGAAACGCCGTTTACCTTCCCGCCAGAGCAGTACCTATTTATCTACTTGCACTTTGACATGCTTCTGAACTGCTAGGTTGGCAGGAGCTGGGACCGAGCAACGGGAGCTCACCCCGTCGCGGGGATTCAAACCACCGACCTTCTGATCGGCAAGTACTAGGCTCTGTGGTTTAACCCACAGCGCCACCCACGTCCCAGAACTTAAGGATATTTGCATGCAATTTTGAGCTGCAGCCAGTGTGGTGTAGTGGTTGAGAGCGGTAGTCTTGTAATCTGGGGAACCGGGTTCGCGTCTCCGCTCCTCCACATGCAGCTGCTGGGTGACCTTGGGCCAGTCACACTTCCTTGAAGTCTCTCAGCCCCACTCACCTCACAGAGTGTTTGTTGTGGGGGAGGGAAGGGAAAGGAGAATGTTAGCCGCTTTGAGACTCCTTAAAGGGAGTGAAAGGCGGGATATCAAATCCAAACTCTTCTCTTCTTCTTCTTCTTCTTCTTCTTCTTCTTCTTCTTCTTCTTCTTCTTCTTCTGCTTCTACAAGTCATGGGGGAGAGCAGAGTCACACAAGCACAGGCGCTTCAAAACCCTGTGCAGCCGGCATCATCTATATATTTTTTCAAGCTGACCTCAACCATAGGGACTAGAAACTTCCTTTATTCTGGACTTCCGGAGGCGGCGCCAACAAGCAATGGCGATCTCCTCGTAATCTCGGAGGAGAGGCTCCGCGAAAACCGGGTCGATCCGCTACGGCGCAGCAGAGACCCTTTTGAAACCCGCAGGCGGAGGAAGCCTGCGGTCGTGGGACTCCGGCGGGTGCCTGGAGCGCGCCCCTAAACGGCAAAGGAAACCCGCGAGGGGCTCCGAAGCAGGACGGGGGTGGCGCGGCACTGTGAGTCTTCTGCTACTTTCGCGGAGTGAAGCCGTGCGGCTGTTGCTGGAGAGCGCTGACCTTTCTTCCTTGACAATTCGGCTGTCAAAACTACAACCCGTGAGTAGGTTTGACGTTATAGAAGGACCAACAAAAATTTTTTGAACAAATTTGGCTGAAGCGGGAAGGTGTAAAAAGGAAGTCCACCTCCCGGTTTGTATAAAGGATTAAAGCAAAGACTGTGTGAGTTCGATACCAAAGACTGTCAAAAGAGACTGAAACACAGACGTCAAATTTAAAAATTTTCCCTCCCATAATTGGAGAAGGGGGGGAAGAAGAGACAGTATTTCTTGTTATTTCTTGTTATCTTTGTGTAATTTAAAGAGTAATAAGGAAACGAAGACCACCTCTCAATCCCTGGGGACAGACTGCCAGGTTTGGAAAGATTGGATACTTTGTTAGCACTCTAAATGGACAATGTACCTTCTTGCCTATTAACTTCACAAAATTGAAACTTTGGGAAAAAAAGTTGCCTCTTTGGCTGAAGGGGTTTTTTTTTAAAAAAAAAAATAAGTTTTTGAGAGTTTTTATTTTTGACACTTTATTACTTGTGTCCCCCTGGAGGCCAAAGGGGAAAAAGTCTCTAATTGACTGAGGAATTTTCCACCCAACAGCAGCCTGGGAAAGCTTAACAGCAAAACAACTTCAACTGTGAGAGTGACCTTGATTTTTAGATAAAGTGCCATGGATGAAAGAAACTTGAGGTCCGGGAAAGGCAGGCAACAGAGCAACATTGCTCAACAGCAACAGCGTAGGCCATCCATCGCTGGGCCACAAGGAGAGGAAGAAGGACTTGCCAGTTTATTTAAAATTGTGAATGAAGGTTTTGAAAAACTGGGTCAACAGAATGCCGAGGCACTAGAAGCTATTAGACAAAACTCAGCAAGTATTGATAAGCTGACTCGACAGACTAATGAAAATACAGATGTGATTAAAAAATTACTGGAACAATCTGCTGAAACTCAAAAAACAGCTTTGGAAGCTAGAGAAAAGGCGGTAGCTGCTGAAGAAAAATTACCACCTTTAATTAAACAAGTTGAAGAGCACCATATAAGATTGGGAACGCACCAGGAATTGCTATCTGTCCTTGAGCTAAAGGAGAAACAGACCAATTTAAGGATCAGAGCAGTACCTGAGATTGAGAAAGAGAGCCTGGTAGACTTTTTGACACAAGAATTCGCCAATTTTTGGCAATTGAACGATAAGGAAGATTTCAAGATAACGTCTGCTTTCAGGCTTGGAAGAGGAGCAAGAAAGAACAGAGTGAGAGACTGCCTGATTACCTTGCGATCTAAGGAGGAACGAGATAAAATTTTGAGTTCACACTACCGAAATACACTGATAATACAAGACTCAAGGATAGAAATATTTAAAGACATTCCAAAGCTCCTTTTGGAGCTTAGGTCCAACTACCGGGACCTGGTGACGCTGCTGAGAGGAAACAGAATTTTTTTCAGGTGGGAATTTCCTCAAGGCCTATCTTTCAGTTTTAAAGGCAAGAAAATTAAAATAAAATCTGTGGAGGAGAAACAGAACTTTTTGAGAGACCATCAAGAGGACCTACAAAAAGGATTGGGGCAGGAGCCAGAAGCCCCTTTACCAGGATTGGATCCTACACTACCACCGTTGGGAGAGGATAAGACAGAGAAGGCGAAACCACCAACAGAGGAAGAAGAGTTATTGGGAGCAGTTGGAGGAAAATAAAGAAATCATCATGGCTCTGCAACTTTTAACTTGGAATGTTTGTGGTCTAAATTCTCCGGAAAAAAGGAGGAAAGTATTTCATATACTTAAAAAAGAACAATTGGACTTAATCTGCTTACAGGAAACCCATGTGACGAGGCTCCACAGGAAAATATTGATTAATAAGAGATTGGGTCAAGAATTTATTTCATCAGATAAAATTAAAAAACGAGGAGTGGTCATTTACGCAAAGGAGAGCCTCTCACCAAAATTCGTCTTTAAGGATGAACAAGGAAGATTCATAGCAATTGAAATTCAAGCACAAGGAGAAAAACTTTTGATAGTAGGCTTATATGCACCAAATGAGGGGAAATCTATATTTTACAAAAAGTTGCATGAGATCTTGATGGACTATATGGACTATAACACTGTTTTTATGGGAGATATGAATGGGGTGGTTTCCACAAACATGGACAAGTCACAAAGAGAGGTAGTCACTAAAGATGGCAGACTACCGAAAACATTCTTTGAATTAACTGACAATATGGATTTGATTGACATTTGGAGAACTAGGAATCCCCTTGATAGAGAAGGAACCTTTTTTTCTGAAGCCCAAAAGACATGGACAAGAATTGACCAAATCTGGACTACTAGAGGACTGGCACCTAAGGTTAGGAAGGTAGAGATCTGTCCAAAAACATGCTCCGACCATAACGCCGTGAGAATGGAGATGAAGTTAACATCTACTGGTTCCTTCCGATGGAGGATGAATGACACCTTGTTTAGAGATCAAGAGGTGATTAAGAAGGCCCAAAAGACATTGAGAGACTATTTTGAGATAAACTTGAATACAGCTGTAGAAAAAAGAATAATCTGGGACGCAAGTAAAGCTGTTATGAGGGGCTTCCTGATTCAACAGAATTCAGTTAAGAAGAGGGCCCAAAATGTAAAGAAAGAAAAAATTCTGGAAAAAATAAAGGAGGGCGAGAAGAAACTGAGAGTGAAGCCCAACTCACAAGAGATTCTGAGGGAAATAAAATTGCACCAAGTGCAGTATATGAAATTGATAAATCAAGAAGTGGAATGGAAAATTAAACAAATGAGACAAAAGACTTTTGAATCGGCAAATAAATGTGGGAAACTGCTGGCTTGGCAGTTGAAGAAACGACAAAAACTCAATACTATTACTAATTTGGAAGTGGAAGGGAAAAATATCCAGAATCCAGAAGAAATTAGGAAATGCTTCCAGAGATATTTTAAACAATTATACACACAAGGGCCTCAGAAAGAATTTGAAATAGAGCAATTTCTGAAAACCAATGGATTACAAAAAAATCTCTCAGGATAACAAGATATTGCTGAATTATAAAATTACAGAACAGGAGGTTGAAGGTGCCATTCAGAATATGCAGTTGGGAAAATCTCCAGGACCGGACGGTTTAACCTCAAAATATTACAGAACTTTGAAAGACTGGCTAATTCGACCATTAACTGAGGTTTGCAATGAAATTTTAGAGGGGAAAAGAGCGCCAGAGTCGTGGAAGGACGCATTTATTACACTTATACCAAAGTCTGAGACTGAAAAGACACAGCTTAAGAACTATCGGCCCATATCCCTGTTAAATGTGGATTACAAAATTTTTGCTGACATTTTAGCAAAAAGGCTTAAAAAAGTGCTAAAAGGAGTGATTCATAAGGACCAAGCTGGCTTTCTTCCAGATAGACATCTTTCGGATAACACAAGGAATATAATTGATATTCTGGAGAAGCTGCAAGAGGAGATTAACACTAAAGCAGTTTTGATTTTTGTGGATGCAGAGAAAGCCTTTGATAATATTTCTTGGAGTTTTATGAAGAAAAATCTCCAGGGGATGGGGGTAGGCCAAGAGTTTGAAAATGGTATAAATGCAATTTATTCATAACAAAATTCTAAATTAATATTTAATAATGTGATAACAGAGGAAATTAAGATAGAGAAAGGGACACGACAAGGCTGCCCAATTTCCCCATTACTTTTTATTTCTGTTCTGGAGGTTTTGTTAAATATGATAAGAAGGGACCATTTGATTAAGGGTATAACGGTCGGAGCGAAACAATACAAACTGAAAGCATTTGCAGATGACCTTGTACTGACATTACAGGAGCCAGAATCTAGTACGAAAAGAGCATTAGAACTGATTCAAGAGTTTGGTCAGGTGGCAGGTTTTAAGCTGAATAAGTTTAAAACTAAAGTACTTGAGAAGAATTTAACACCGATTGAAAAAGAGAGGTTTCAGAATGAGACAGGTTTAACAGTGGTAAAAAAGTGAAATACTTGGGGATTCATATGACAGCTAAAAATGGGAATTTATTTAAAGACAATTATGAAAAGTGTTGGTCGGACATTAAAAAGGATTTAGAAATATGGACAAATTTGAAGCTTTCCTTGTTAGGTCGAATTGCTGTCATCAAGATGAATGTATTGCCAAGAATGTTGTTTTTGTTTCAATCGATACAAATAATAGACAAAATGGATTGTTTTAAGAAGTGGCAGAGAGATATCTCTAAGTTTGTCTGGCAGGGCAAGAGGCCCAGGATAAAATTTAAAATATTGACTGATGCTAAAGAAAGAGGGGATTTGCCCTGCCAGACTTTAAACTTTATTATGAATCAGCAGCTTTCTGCTGGTTGAAGGATTGGTTACTTCTGGAAAATACTGATGTTTTGGACTTAGAAGGTTTCAATAATGTGTTTGGGTGGCATGCATATTTGTGGTATGACAAGGTTAAAGCTCACAAAATATTTAAAAACCATATTGTCAGGAAAGCATTGTTCAATGTCTGGATAAGATATAAAGACTTATTGGAGAATAAAACCCCAAGGTGGCTATCACCAATGGAGGCAAAGGCCCTGAAAAAGTCCAATATGGAGGCCAAGTGGCCAAAATATTGGGAGATCTTGGAACAAGAAGGAGATAAATTCAAATTGCAGAGTTTTGAAAAACTAAAAGATAGAGTGCGAGACTGGTTGCATTATTACCAAATAAGAGAGGTCTATAATTTGGATAGAAAAATTGGCTTCCAGGTGGAAAAATCAAAGTTGGAAACAGAACTGCTAGATCCCAAAACTAAAACACTATCAAGAATGTATAACTTGCTGCTAAAATGGAATACTCAGGATGAAACGGTAAAATCTGCTATGATTAAATGGGCACAGGATGTTGGACACAACATTATGTTTGCTGACTGGGAACGGTTATGGACCACAGGTACGAAGTTTACAGCATGTAATGCTTTAAAAGAGAATATAATGAAAATGGTGTACAGGTGGTACATGACCCCAGTCAAGCTTGCAAAAATCTACCATTTGCCCGATAATAAATGTTGGAAATGTAATGAAACAGAAGGTACATTCTTTCACCTTTGGTGGACGTGCCCAAAGATTAAGGCCTTCTGGGAAAGGATATATAATGAGTTGAAAAAGGTATTTAAGTATACCTTTCTAAAGAAACCAGAGGCCTTTCTCCTGGGCATTGTTGGCCAATTGGTGCCAAAGAAAGATAGAACTTTCTTTATGTATGCAACAGCAGCAGCAAGGATACTTATCGCAAAGTATTGGAAGACACAAGACTTACCCACTCTGGAAGAATGGCAGATGAAGGTAATTGATTATATGGAATTGGCGGAAATGACTGGCAGAATCCGTGACCAGGGAGAAGAGTCGGTGGAAGAAGATTGGAAGAAATTTAAAGACTATCTACAGAAATACTACAAAATTAATGAATGTTAAATTGAGGTCTGATTGAAAATAATTGGTATTGGCAAAATAAGTTTAAGAGCATGGAATATTTGATTGATAAGGTTGTAAAAATATTTATTTATAAATAGATTAAGTTTTTGAGTTAGGATAAAGGAAGGAGGGTAAGGATGTGCTGAAAGGCGTCTCTAAATGGAAATACAAGTGGGGAGATGCGGGGAAGTCAAAGAACTAAGGAAAGATAAGAAGGTCAAATGAAAGTATAAATTTTTAAATTTTTCTGTCTTCTTTTTCTTCTTTTCTCTCTTTTTTCTTTCTTTGTTATGGATATTGTTATCTTGGTTTTCTTTTTGTCACTGTTATTGTTGTTTTTTTTTGTCTGTGGAATTTTCGTATTTTTGTATCTTTTGGAATTTTTGTAAAACCAATAAATATTATATTAAAAAAAAAAAAAGAAACTTCCTTTATTCTGTTTAAGTGAAGTGGAAGTTTCTCAAGACACTGAGCTCTCTTCCCAGTTTCAAATTCATTTGTGCTAAATCGTGGAGCAGACACACTCCTGCACCGGCCCTGATTATTTTCTACTGCAAGACATCTAAGTTTACATGCTGACAACAAAAGGAAACATCCCTGGAGCCATTAAAAATCGGCAACCAATGGAAAAATAAATAAATAAATCATTCAAGGTGGCTTATTTCGAGCATGCTGTCCTGCACACAAACACACACACGCTCTCCTTCCAGCCATCTCAAAAAGTTATGTCTCTTTCCCCCGCTTCTCTATTAAAGGTGCATGTTTGGTTGCTATAGTGATTATTTCCCACTTCGAAACATTATTGTGCTTAATAGCCGCTTTAGGCAAAGGGAGGCAAAACAGAAAATCATGACTTGGCCATCTCGCAAATGGTCAGCCTCTGTGATCTCTCATTTCTGAGCAACTTTTAAGTGTCTCTGGCAGTGATTCCTACATTCTCCAAAATGTCGTGTGCTGTCATTACGCCCCGAGAGCCTGAATAGCACACAGCAGGGCATCCGCTGCAGCAGAGGTAGAGCGCCGTGTAACAGAAATCACCGTTAAGGTAAACTCATTTGTTGGGCTGTCTCCCCTCCTCTTCCCGGCACACAGTCAGCTTTTGATCTGAAATCATGCCAGCACCCTTGTTGACCAAAGGCGCTTCAATGCTAATAACAAAATAAAAAGGGGGGGCAACACCCCTCCCCGGGGAGTTAGATTTAAAGGTACTTTAGCCAAATCATGGCCCCATAGCCTTGCAAAAGCAGTGGCGAGGAAGGCCACTGCAAGAGCTAAGTGGGGCAGGTTCAAGATATTTTGCCGCCCGAGGCAGAGCAATAAACTGTGAACTCTCCTCGCAGGTCCCCAAGGGAGCTCGACTAGTTTTGGCACCTGAGGGAGAAAATCCCCCTCCCTGGGAGTAAAAATACAGTAATAAAGTTGCATTTATCGTTTGCCATGTTTGACAAATTTGTCTCTGTCATTACAACAGCTTTTTGCACATTCAGGACTGGTAAGGTTTAGCCTGAGATAGTTACCTCACTCTGCTTAATGGTAAGGTCTATGCTGGGCAGATTTCCTTTGCCTTCTCCACCTTCCCTCCCAGTCCCTCAAAGTGTCCCTATTTTCCAGGGACGTTCTTGATTTAGAGAAGCTGTCGCGGTTTCTGATTTGATCCCAGAATGTCCCACCTTTCCTTAGGACGTCCCTATTTTCATTGGAGAAATGTTGGAGGGTATGGAGTTATCCAGCTTTTGAGCCATCTGAAGGAGGCCCTGTATAGGGAAGGTTTTTCCCCCTAATGTTTATAGTTTTTATGTTTTTATATATGTTGGAAGCCACCCAGAATGGCAAACCAGTCAGATGGGTGGGTATAATCGCAAAATTCTTATTTTTATTCTTATGGAATAGGACATTCTTATTTTCATCAGAGAAATTTTGGAGGGTATGCATTTAAATCCTTCTTATACCACTTTAAAGGCCATAGCTTCTCTCAAAGAATCTTGGGAGCTGTAGTTTGCTGTGGGTTCTGAGAGTTGTTAGGAGATCCCTGTTTTCCTCCCAGAACTACAATTCCCAGAGTTCCCTGGGAAGAACGATTGGCTGTTAAGCCACTCTGACAATTACAGAGTGCTTTGGGAAGGCACTAGAGAGTGTCTCCAAGCAACTCTTAGCACCTTAAACAGGACTCCTTGGGGAAAGCCATAACTGTTAAAGTGGTATAATTGTGATATCAGTGCATGGTGTGTCCCTGAATAGTAGTTATTTTCTAACCCAATAAGCCAAGGAGCACAAGAGGAAGTAAAACTTAGGTCCTGACACTGGTTTAAATGTGTAATGAAAATATGGCTATGCTGTGCAAGTCATGATGATGATAATCATCATCATCATCATCATCATCATCATCATTACAGTGGTACCTCGGGTTGCAAACACCCGGGTTACAAACACTTCAGGTTACAAACTCCACTAACCCAGAAGTAGTACCTTGGGTTAAGAACTTTACCTCAGGATGAGAACAGAAATTGCACGCTGGCAGTGCGGCAGCAGCTGGAAGCCCCATTAGGTAAAGTGGTACCTCAGGTTAAGATCGGTTTCAGATTAAGAACGGACCTCTGGAACGAATTAAGTTTGTAACCAGAGGTACTACTGTAATAGCGAAGTAGCAGAAAGATGAGGAAGGAAAACACTTCCTTTGTGGATGTGAGTGTTCAGTGCTTGCAGTCAAACTTAATGGCTGTGTTTATGGAAGACAATCTTACTCGGCTACGAGTGATCACAGAAGAAGAAGAAGGAGAAGGAGAAGGAGAAGGAGAAGGAGAAGAAGAAGAAGAAGAAGAAGAAGAAGAAGAAGAGGAAGAAGAAGAAGAAGAAGAAGAAGAAGAAGAAGAAGAAGAAGAAGAAGAAGAAGAGGAAGAAGAAATATATAGTGAGGTGTGGGCACAGAAGGGGCAAAGTGCATTTGTGGGGAAGGAGAGCTTTGTTCCACATGGTAGATTTGTGAAAGGGCAATAAATGCATCTTCCACATAATCATTCCCATCTAAATGTATTGTCTCTTTGGTATGTCCAGCTGATGACATTAACTTTCATGGAAGATATGAAACTTACGAATGGACTGCTTACAGGTGTAGACTTTGTTTGGATACATATGGCAATATTTGGAATGACTTTTTCCCAGTGTAGTAGGCTATTAATATTTACATATGTATTAGGATAATAATATCAAATTCATAAATATATATATTCGTATTTCTTTTCTACACATTTTTGTGCTCTTTTATTTTTATTTTCTTCCTCTCTTTTTCTTTGCATCACTTTATTTCTTTATAATTGAAACCTTTTCAATCAAATATTGAACTGCCCTGAGACCTCTGGGTATAGGGCGGTATATAAATTCAATAAATAAATTATTAATAAATATTAATAAATATTAATGCAGGGGGGGAAATTCATGAAAGGAAGCGTAGCGTGGCAGACTTATTGTCTATCATGTAACCACAGGTGTAAAAAGGCAAAAGGTAAAGGACCCCTGGACGTTTAAGTCCAGTCAAAGGCGGCTATGGGGTTGCGGCGCTCAACTTGCTTTCAGGCTGAGGGAGCTGATGTTTGTCCACAGACAGATTTCTGGGTCATGTGGCCAGCATGACTAAACAGCTTCTGGTGCAATGGAACAGCATGATGGAAACCAGAGTGCACGGAAATGCCATTTACCTTCCCATCACAGCGGTACCTATTTATCTACTCGCACTGGTGTACTTTCGAACTGCTAGGTTGGCAAGAGCTGGGACAGAGCAATGGGAGCTCACCCCATTGTGTGGATTCGAACTGCCAACCTTCTGATTGGCAAGCCCAAGAGGCTCAATGGTTTAGACCACAGCGCCACCCGCATCCACAGGTAACCACAGATGTAATCACAGGTGTACAGCCTGTGGGGCAGTGCAAGGGGGATAGCTACTTCTCTGTGGAGCAGTTTGCCCCTCTTTGCCCACCTGCAGTGTCTCCTACAGACAAACACAGGGACAGACATTGGAAACATAGGAAGTTGTGTTTTATTAAGTCATAGCATTGGTCTATCCATCTCCATATTGGCTACACTGACTCACAGTGATGCCCAGGATTTCTTCCCCAGACCTACCTGGAGATACCAGGTATTGAACCTGGGACCACCTGTGTGAGAAACTGATGCTCCACCAATGAGCTACAGCCCTTCGCCTTTCATAAATCAAGACCTTTATAGTCCCAATGGTAGAAGAGCTGGAAGCAAGGACTGGAGATTCAAGACTTTGTCGCTATCCTCTGGCCCGCCTATCAGAATCTGTTCCTCTGGCTTAGCCCTTCTCAACCAATCAAGGCTCTTGCTTTCCATCATAATTTGAATAAGACTGCTTCTTTCTTTCGCGAAGGCATGCATTTATTTTAAACATTCCCCATATACTCTTGAGTGCGAAAGGTGACATTGCAGCAGACAGCTTGGCAAAGGCAACACATCAGACGAGGCTTTGAAAACTGCTGATGCTATTTCAGGGGCTGCTTCCGTGTGAAATCACAGAAGCTGCAAATCCTTCCAAATCTCTCTTTCTCTCTGCCACAGGGTAGAAATTTCAGATGGATTTATGGAACAAGGCTTTTTTAAAAAAACCACACACACGGATGCATTGCAATTGATAACGTGGAAAGGTGGAAAGGTTAGAGGCCATTTGTAGAGGTAGCTGGAAACCCATTCACTCCTGCAGTAAGGAATAGTACAGGCAGTTTTATCAAGTCTTTAAAGGAAATCTATCCTACTTACCGTTAGATCCACTTTTCAGATGAGCAGAATCCTACTAAGAGGATATTTCAATGGTTTTAGGGGAAGCGATTTATTTTGTTTTTGGCTAGTTCCTATTTTGCCCTGTACTCCCCTGGCACCTCTGACAAAATCTGTACTGAAGGGTTGGGGACTCTCTGAAACAAAATGGGACATAGTTCAAGATGCTGCATAAGGTAAAGGGACCCCTGACCATCAGGTCCAGTTGTGGCCGACTCTGGGGTTGCGGTGCTCATCTCGCTTTATTGGCCGAGGGAGCCGACGTACAGCTTCCAGGTCATGTGGCCAGCATGACTAAGCCACTTCTGGCGAACCAGAGCAGCGCACAGAAACGCCCTTTACCTTCCCGCCAGAGCAGTACCTATTTATCTACTTGCACTTTGATGTGCTTTCGAACTGCTAGGTTGGCAGGAGCAGGGACCGAGCAATGGGAGCTCGCCCCGTCACGGGGATTCAAACTGCTGACCTTCTGATCGGCAAGTCCTAGGCTCTGTGGTTTAACCCACAGTGCCACCCGCGTCCTTAAGATGCTGCATAGGTGAAAGGAAATTCGTGAAAATTGCCTTTTCCTACAGCTGGATCCTCCACGTGATATAGAACAGGGGTCAGCAAACTTTTTCAGTAGGGGGCTGATCTACTGTCCCTCAGACTTTGTGGGGGGCCGGACAATGTTTTGAAAAATAAAATAAAAATGAACGAATTCCTATGCCCCACAAATAACCCAGATATGCATTTTAAGTAAAAGCACACATTCTACTCATGTAAAAACACTAGGCAGGCCCCACGAACAACCCAGAGATGCATTTTAAATAAAAGAACACATTTTACTCATGCAAAAACACACTGATTCCCAGACCTTCCGCAGGCCAGATTGAGAAGGTGATTGGGCTGGATCCGCCCCCCGGACCTTAGCTTGCCTACCCATGAAATAGAATCTGCTCCACAAATGGGAAAAGCAGGGAATGGATCACCATTTTTATCCCACGTCTCGGGGAGAGTCACCTGAAGCAGCTAGCAGCAATTCTAAAGCAGATGGGAGATGGTGCACACAGAAATTAAAACAATAAAGTACTAAAACAGACTGAGCCAGCAATCACTGATAAAACAGCAATCCTGAAATAAAAAAAGGCAGTTAAACGCTCCAAATGATTTTGGACTCCAGCTTCCACCATTCAGTGCAGCCAATGGACAGGGATGGTGAGAGTTTAACTTTCTGCAACATCTGCAGGCACAGCAATTTGGCATCCGTAACCTTGACGCTGAAGCTGCCATGGTGGTGCAAACCACTGAAGGCAAAATATACACAAAGTCAAGAGTGGATTTCATGCTCTTTGTTCAGCTCATAGTAGTGAGGAGGAATGGAAGTTCCCCCAGAATGTCTGCCTTATATACATTATCTAAACAATGGGCCCCACGTGATTGGCTAATTCTGGGATTCTCCTGTAGGCCAATCAGGTTGCGGATTCCCTTCCACCTGGAGCTGGATTGGGTGGCTCCTGTGGACCAATCAGACTGCTGCATTCTGGATCCTATTGTTCTAGGACCAGTCAAACTGCTGCCTTTTGGATCCTATTCAACTCAGTACATAACAGAAGGCCATAGGGATTTCTTACACGATCAGTCCTACACAATCAGTGTAATGTGAAGGAATGGATATATATTTGCGCAATCCATCTTGTCTTTCTGCTTCCTTTCATCCCCTGGGATTTATTTATTTTCCTATGGCAAAGACATCAGCAGTCTCAAATCTCATTGTGATTCTGGATAACCATCAATCGTTGCCCATCCACCCAACCACCTTCCCAGAACGACGAGCCCGAGCTACTACCTCTGTCACCTAATCAGCGAATTGGTGGTCTTTGCTCTTTGGGAAACTGCCGTCAGAGTTTGACAAAGTCCAATCCCATAATGGGGTCGTTTGGGAGAAGAGAGCCTACGCCCCAATAGTTTGCCCTCCTTACGCCTAATTAGACAAATTCTAATAAGCATCTGGTGCTTGGCATTGTGCTTGGACATTAGTGGGAAGCCATTACAAGTTGTAATGGCTTGTTATCACACATCCCCCCCCCCACCTTTTGTTAAAAGAAATTAAAATGTTTAGCAGGGTTCTTTTCTCTATTTTTTGCTTGTTTGTGAGTGTGGTGGATTTAATTAAAATTAACAGAGCATGTCAATAACGCTCCATCCTCTCTCTAATGGATTGCCCTTCCAACCTGCCTTAAATGAAGCAAGGCGGGATGCTTCAGAGATGGATGAGCGCCAGCCTTCCTTTGGCGGCAGGCGCCTGTCACACAGGTTTTGGAAACTAGTTTCCTTCTCATCAAGATGTCCATCAAGGAAAAGCCCAAGGCGGCTGGAGAAAACATGAGGGCAAAATGTGATAGTGCAAGAGTGATTGGAAGGATCCCAAGGAACTGCGATGGAATGGTGGGCCGGTGAGTTTGGAAAGTGAGTGACACATTGAGAGGAGTGGCATGCGGAGAGAATCACAACACTAATGATTCCCAGAAACTAGTATACACAGATATACTCCTTCCAACAGTGTTGGTAGAAGACAGCCATAGAATTCTAGAATTGTTGAGTTGGAAGGGACCACAAGAGTCATCTAGCACAACAATGCAGGAATCTTCTGCCCAATGTGGGGCTCAAAAGCACGATCCTGAAATTGTCTCATGCTCTGCTGACTGAACTACCTACCATGAGACATCTTGCCAATCACCATAGCTAGTTGCACTTGATAAGCTTTAAGATTGCTGGAAGAAATATCAGCAACCTCAGATATACAGATGACACAACCTTGATGGCAGAAAGTGAGGAGGAATTAAAGAACCTCTTAATGAGGGTGAAAGAAGAGAGCGCAAAATATGGTCTGAAGCTCAACATCAAAAAAACTAAGATCATGGCCACTGGGCCCATCACCTCCTGGCAAATAGAAGGGGAAGAAATGGAGGCAGTGAGAGATTTTACTTTCTTGGGCTCCATGATCACTGCAGATGGTGACAGCAGTCACAAAATTAAAAGACGCCTGCTTCTTGGGAGAAAAGCAATGACAAACCTAGACAGCATCTGAAAAAGCAGAGACATCACCTTGCCAACAAAGGTCCGTATAATTAAAGCTATGGTTTTCCCAGTAGTGATGTATGGAAATGAGAGCAGGACCATAAAGAAGGCTGATCGCCGAAGAATTGATGCTTTTGAATGGGTGCTGAAGAAGACTCTTGAGAGTCCCATGGACTGCAAGAAGATCAAACCAATCCATTCTGAAGGAAATCAGCCCTGAGTGCTCACTGGAAGGACAGATCCTGAAGCTGAGGCTCCAATACTTTGGCCACCTCATGAGAAGAGAAGACTCCCTGGAAAAGACCCGGATGTTTGGAAAGATGGAGGGCACAAGGAGAAGGGACGACAGAGGACGAGATGGTTGGATAGTGTTCTCGAAGCTACCAGCATGAGTTTGACCAAACTGTGGGAGGCAGTGGAAGACAGGAGTGCCTGCCGTGCTCTGGTCCATGGGGTCACGAAGAGTCGGACATGACTAAACAACTAAACAACAACAACAACAACAATCTTCTATGAATTTGTCTAAACCTTTTTAAAATCAATCCAAGCTGGTGGCTATCAGTCCATCTGTTTATTCCACACTTTTACTATGTCTACATCGTGTCAAGATTTTTTGTTGTTATTGCCTTTTCCTGAATCTTCTAACTTCATCTTCACTGGATGACCCCAAGGTTCTAGTATTAGGTGAAGGAGAGATGAAGTTTCCTATCTCTACGCTCTAGGAATTTCAAGATCTGATTCCCCCCTCTTTTTTACAAAGTAATAATCATAAATAAATAAGAATAAAAATGTGCACCCCACCACCGAGGCCATTCCATTGTAACTATCCACCCTCCCAAAATTTCAACATCTCTTGCAATGGTATGACCCCTTTCTGTTTTAACAGTGCAAATTCTACAACCACCCTCCATATCTCCTCCAGATAATTTTTCCTGCATATTCCCCATCTTACCTTAATGACACATGTTAATTTATCATTAATAGCTATATCTCAGGCCTCTTTATACCATTCTTCCATTTTGTATTATGCTTGCCCCTTCCACTTCCTAGCTATCATAAATTCATGCTGCTGTCAATAAATTTGTGAGCAAGTCCTTCGTACCCTGCCAACCTTTCACCCCATTCGAGATCTGACTTCATAAATATATTCAGGTTAATGCAGAAATGGGACGTGTATGTATATGGATGAACACTTTCAAAACGAAGCAGAGATAGATGGATCTGACCCTACATACCATCTCTGGCATGTGATGCTACTGCTATCCAACAGTCTCACTCAAAACCTCTAACATTTCCGCAAAGTTTCAACACAATGGTGCCTGAGACAATACAGTTGCC